ACCAGGAATCTGGTGGTTTGTGGGGGGAAAATGGTGGGGGTGAGGGTGCCAAAAAGGGAATTGTTTGCCTAAACTCCAGGAACGTCCGGGGGGGGTGGGAAAAGCCAGGGAGAAGCCACAGTCTGGCCGCAGCGCCTGTCCTGCCCCTGCCCCTGCCCCGGAGCTGCCCAGACCCGGGGGAGCTGTGTTTAGGAACTACTTCATAATTTAAAAGCGCATTTTCCAGAGTGGGAGGGGGCAACCCTATGAAGTAGCTACTGTTGTCCTCTTTCCAGCAAGGAAACGGAGGCAGCTGATCGGAGGTGGGCGGGGATTCAAACCTCCGCAGCCCAAGTCCCCGCAGAGCCTCCGGGGCCCAGTCTCTGCGAGGGGGCCCATCATTCGTCACTGAGATGAGGGGCGGAGGCCTGGGCGAGCCCAGCGGGAGGGGCCTCCTGGGTGTGCGGGCAGCGGGTGCTCAGAGGAGGCCCCCTGACCAGAGGCTGGGTCCCCGGGCCCTCAGCGACCAGCACGTGCACAGGCTCAGGCCTGCGAGTCAGGGCACTTGTCTTCCCCCAGCTCTGAGATGGAGTGAGCACCTGGGTCCTGCTGCCTCATCCCGTTCAGTGACACGTGGGCCTCCTCGCCCTCCTGCAGAGGCTGTTTCCTGCCATACGTGGGGCCTTGGGAACAGGGAATGGCCCAGGGAAGCGGGGCCCAGCCCAGCTCTGAGAGGCAGCGTCTGGGTGCCCTGGGCCAGGACGTGGGAGCCCTGGTGTAGTTCATTCACAACTTCGTCGGGGATTCGGCTGTGAACGTGGTCCCTGCTTCACGGGCCTACACTCTGCCTGGAAGGAGGGCTCCCACATGGGCGGCAGCTCTGGCTCAGGCGGAGGGTTTGAATGGATTGAAACTTCCCCCTCCAGCAAGGCCCTCTGGGATGTCGCCTCCTCCCGCAGAGCCCTCTGAGTGCAGTTAGGAGTCTGCCCTCTGAGCCGCACTCTCCCCAGTACCAGGCTGGGGCTGCTGCCACCGCCATCCCAGCTCTCCTGGGGTTGGGAGTCCCTCCCGTCTGCTGGCTAGAAATCGGAGCCACATGCTCTGCCCGGCCCTTGTCTCTGCTTCTCCCCTTGTTGGGAGCTGGGGTGGCAAAGGGCCCCTTGCCGCTGCCTGGCTCGTGGTGGCACCTGGACCCAGAGCCTCCCCTCCCCTTGCGAGGGAGTGTGAGCAGATGGCAGCACCAGGCCCTTGCCGCACCCCAGGGAGGGGCTGGCTCCTTCACCTGGCGTTTTGCAGACGCGGCATCACTTTCTTCTCATCCCTGATTCTCTCTGCAACTCCAGCAGGTGGACAGGACTGGCCTCTTAGGACCCCTTGTTCCACTCGTCAGGAGCCCAAGACCTTG